GGTTCTGACAGCTGGCTTAATTATTCATTCCATTCACCTGTCTAACTCTTCCCAGTTGCTCTTCACAACTCATCTGATCCACCTTCTTCTGCCACTATTTAATGTCCTTGCATCCAGCTATCAGGGCCAGATTATCTTGGTGTTGCAGACCAGTGGAGAGAGTGGTTTTTAGCTTATCTTAGTGTTCTTTGATTTCGTTACCCTGGCCTGATCTGCCTCTAATCCACTGATCGTGCCTGTTCCTGTCTGATCTTAGTGGAGAGAGTGATTTTTAGTATCCCTTAGTGTTTAGAATTTCCTCATGCTAACCTTTTCTGCCTCTCAACCACTGGGCCTGCCTGTTCCCATCTGACTTGTCTGCCTGAACTGTCTGTGGACTCCTGGGATGCTGAACAAGCCTGTTCTTGTTCTGATCTGTTTCCTTGGCTAGGATTTGTAACCCTAGACCTCTGAGCCTTCCTTTTTTGATTAGTTTCCCTGACCTGGCTAGGACTCCTGCTTGTCCTCTGGGGCTGCAGCATCTAGGACACTCAGGGCAGTTCCAACCGCATTTTGTTGTCAGCTCACCACCTCATTCTCTAGAGATAGACTAAAGTGTTAAACCAGGTTAGTGACTCACATGGATAATCATCCCCCATCAGATTATCATGGTCACTAACCTGTGTTTTTCTCCAACAGAGTTTCCAGTGATAGACACTTTAGCCGCTGATACTGCAGGTCCACAGCCTGCTCTATTTAAATAAACACTTTGAATTATCCCACGGTCTGTCTTGCTTTGAATACTGGGTCCAATGGCGTAAATATCAGTAAGCAGAGACAACAATTGCCTCTTAAGGGCTCCCATCTCTGATACCTGGTGGGCCCTCTATGCAGTTGTAGACTACAACATATCTTTGTAGATGTAATGGTGTGAAAAATTCCTCTTAAACCCACGTGATGCTGAAGTGACTGACTGCACCAGACCATATTTATACCGCAACACATGCCAGATTTCAACATGATGGTGAGCTGTTTAAACACGACACCAATAGAAAAGCAGACAATGTTACTTTTAAATATTATGTTAATAACTTTGTATAGTTCATTAGACGGTTGGTAAAAAATGTGGTTTGATAAGCATCTCTCTGGAATGAGTTTTTGAAACTAGGGATGTCTGTAACATGCGGTGGTGTGGTGTCACCAACGGTTCCATTCACCACACACTATTTTTCAGTGTGTGATGTGTGATCATATACTACTGAGAATTGCATAATTGTTTCTTCTTTGGCCTATTTATGGAACTGTCACCCTATCCTGGGCCTATTGTTGTGTCATTACACCATTGACTAGGTCCTTCTTTCCTCTGTCTTGATGGAATAATCTGACCAAATGAGGGCCCATTGGCAGTTTTTCTCTTTTTTTTGTGTGTTTTTTTTTTATATTATCTGCATTTTCAGGCTACTTCTGTGTCTGCGTCACCGGCCATCAGGAACCACGTCTGTTTCCCATTGAATTTTGTTTTTTCTGCCCTCTGGATTATCCTGCCTTCCTTCGTTTGCTTGGCTCTGATCTCTGGCCTGTCCTCCAACCACCAATATATCACTCTCTGTGTCATGTTGGGTCTAAGGAGCTCAACCCAAATGCAGAACACCACGGAGACAGAATAAAAGTTAACAACTGTTTATTGAAAGTTAACACAATAAAGTTATTTGCACTGATACTGGAACGGGTCCAGGACTGGAATCACAGGGCTCTCTGCAGAGAGGGACAGTTTAATTAGCCAAGTAGCAGAGGAGTCTTGACAGAGCTTGTAATTGATCTGTACCTGATGGTAGTTCAGACTGAGAATTGGAGAGAGGGAACCAGAAGGGTCCAGAGATTGAGGGTTCAGCAGAGGGTTTAGCAGCGGCAGGGCTTGACTTCAGATTTGAGAGGTTCAGACCTTCAGTTGATCTCCTAGTTCTCTCCTGAGAACTAGCTTGCAGATTAAGACTGTTGATCTTCAGGTTTGGCTTCACAGAGCAGGCAGGCAGGTCTTTGAATGTGAGCTCCTCCAGAGCTCCTGTGTCAATAAGGTCTTCCTAGGAAGGCAGAGAGGACAAAGGCAGGTTAGAATCAGATTGGCTTTCAGAGCAGTCAGAGATTCAGGCAACAGGTTTGGCTCAGGCTTGCTAACCATAACTGTTTAACACTCTGGCACTGAAGGGAAGTTCAGCCGCTGCTTATAAAGCTCCTGATGAGATGATCAGCCGCAGGTGTGCTGGTGGCTTCTGCTCAGGAGACCCAGGGACGCCCTGTGCTGGAGAGAGGTGGCAGATCTCCAGATCCCAACACTCTGGGCGGTGCCTGCTGCATCGTGTTGGCATCAGACCGGCTGGAACCTTCCTCACCCTCTGGTCTTGGTCTAAACTATAAGGCCAGGTTACTAACTTACATGTTCATTATCATCCACTATCAGAAATATGTGGCCACTAACCTGTTGTCTCATCCTACAGAGGCTCCTGCCTTAGATGCTCACACTGCTCTCTTCTGTTCTGTTTCTAATAAATGTTATGAGAAATCTGTTTGTCTGCCTTGAATACTGGATCCTATTGTTCTGAGCTTGACAAGTGCATACCTATAGTTAGTTTTGATTGTGAGATGAAGCATCAATAGTCATTTAACCGTTTTGGCAAATTGCTTCAACGAACCACACTTTTAATGAAGCTTCACGTCAACATGTCACCATCTACTTGCGCAGTGCATAATTATAGGTAACAATATAATCTGTGATGTTTGCAATTGTTTTTCTTGTTTTTTATTTAAGTTAATTTAAAGTTCTTCATGATGGTGTGTATAATATATTTTGTACGTTTGTTTATGTGTAAAATTTCTTAGAAAATCACAATCTGTTAAGGTACCACTGTTTTTCTATAATTTTAGTGACATTATCTCAAGCACAGGGAAAATGCTTAGTCAGTGATGAGCAAACAGAACGGTGTTAGCCATTTTTATTCAAAAAATAATAGTTCTTCCACAGATTTTGGTTTTAATCTGGTTGGAAGTTATATTTCCAACCTATCTTTTGGTCAAAACAACCAGTCTAATTTGGTAGTGTTTTTACCTATTCTATTTTGGCAAAGGCCACGCCAATACAAATTGTCCACTTTGACCAAAATACTGGTTAAGTAGTATAGCAAGTTTCACAGCAAAGGGAGGGTCTCAAACCAACAACCCTTTGTTTGAAAGGCACACTCCTACTGCAAACGCTGCTGTGGCTTAGTCAGTTTGTAATCATTATGTTGTTTCATTTAACCAAAATTGTTTTGACCAACTAGATTGGTTGGAAAAACCAATTGGCGTTGGCGAGACTTTGGACCTCATTGATTTTGACTCCTCCCCTACATGAAGCAAGCCTAAATATATCCATCCATTTGGGCCAGCTCCTCTGGGGGAATGTCTGTTATGGGAGGAGAAAACTGATCTGATTCAGTTTTCACTTAAATTTTTTTTTAGTTGGGTTTTTTTAGTTGGGTTATGTAAGTCTGTTTTTACTGTGAAGAGTTTTATCTTTTTTGAATTACTTCTTAGTCTTACTGTTCCTGTTTGGTTTTACAGTTATCCCATATTCAGCATTCTTTAGTCTTTGCTCCAGTTTAATTTTACCATTCATTGTTTACAATTATTTTTAGGTGATATTACCCAGTTACTCTCCATTGCCCCCTACTGTCACCTTCCTTCTCATTGGTTTTCTTCTATTTTTTTCCCTGCACACCTGTTCCCACTCAGAACATCACTCCTACCTTTGTCATGTTAGTCTGTTCCCCATTATATATATATACCTCCTGAACATGACAGACTCAGTGTGGGAGCACTTTGGATTTCAACCGAATGACAAAGCTATCGTTTATCACAATAATTTCCGGGAACAATTTATCGTCAAGCAAAATCTGTTATTGCAACAGGCTATTTTTTTTATGATGCTGCTGTTATTATATATATATATATATATATATATATTTGGTACTACCAAGGTACGGGTGAGTATTGGCATGGATGTTGCTGTACAATACGTGCCACGATACTTAGGTCACAATACGATATCATCACGATGTTGCAATATCACTATATATTGTGATATTTTTCCCAGCTTTCAAAATTAAATGTATAAACAAAAAAAGCAAGTGCTGTATATGTTCATCAGAAGATATTGATCAGTTATTTTGGTATTCGTTTTGTTTGCAGTTTGAATCAGTGCATGTCTTCCACTGTGACGGCCTCAACTGCAGATATTGCGTCCTGCTGCACAGCGCTATCTGCCCAAGTGGTGATGTAGAGGCAGCCCAAGTTTCCCTCATTGTTTTAGGTAAAAAGGTTTTAGTTTTTTAAAATCGATATTAGGAACTGAAAGATCAATAATATACCAGGCAGCCGAAAATCACAATATATCGCCAAATTCATTTTTTTCCCTCAAACCTCTATACCAAGGTTTGTTACTCCTATTTTAATAAACTAGAAAAACTTTTGGTTTGGCATACACTTTATTTTTTATTTTTTCTCCCTCTGCAGAGGTATGCCCAAGGACTGCAACCAATTGGGGATCACTCTTCTGGTCTTGAAGCAATTGAATAGTTTTAAAAATGTCACGGAGCATTAAAAAGTGATTATCCTTAAAAACATAGGAGTTCCCACAAAAGGTAAAGTATTCCAAACATAGGATGCTTTAGGAGTACTAAGCTTTGACAAGTAGTCTGGGTTCAGTCTTCTCTGTCAGTCTGCAAAAAGCTTCATGATAAATGGTCAAAATGTGAAGCTTAAATGAGGTTGCAGTCCCTCAATGACAACTCAGATGACACATCTGCTATGTAATGAAAGCCACAAAGCACTCAGGAAGTGGATCAATGTTATTTCCTTTACATATACAGCAAGAAGAAATTAGTTTTACTAATGGTAAGTATAACTAACTTAGTATAAAAAAACAGAAATTGACTCAACCAACCAGATGATGAAAGAGGAGTGGTATTATGCCTTGGTCTTTTAAAAGAGGGGACAGAGGAGGAGGCTGAAGATTTGCTCGTTGACCACATTATATCTTAGTGAAAATCTTAGAAGAGTCTCATTCTCATGTAAGTTTTTGAGACTTTTATTCTCTACTCAGAAGGAACGTTATACTGACATAAGATCTCTGAAGCTGCAAAAAATTCAGGTCCTAAAGCTGTGAAAGATGGAACAAAATCAAACGTAAGTACCTCCAAAAAACATGTCTTATGTTTTCCTTTTTTTGTGAGTGGGTCCTTTTTTGCTAATACAGCTCTGGAAATAGATACCCCAGATCTATGACCCAACAGATTTGCTTTCACAAGCAGACTGTTATGACTGTGGCCATAAGGTTCCACTTGGTACTTGTATTTAAAACTTTATTGAAAATGATTCTAGGAGTTGACGGAAATGGAAACGGAGGTGAGAAAGAAATAGGGTATGAGAGCTAAGGCGAGTAAGAAAGATAGACGTGAAAGGGAGAAAATTACACAAAAACAGAAAATACACAAGATATACAGTAACAAGTCTGCTTCCACACTTGTATGAGATAAGTTGGACAGAGAAGCAATATAACAATAGCAAAAAGAAGACAACAGAAAACCATAGTAAATATCAAAAAAGAGCTTCCATATTAGAAATATTCCTTAGATATTGATGTGTGTGGAAGGCAAAACCTATAATGATTATACAATATTATTCAGGGAGGTTTTCCAGTGGTAGCCTGCAAGTTTGATCCGGAGCCGCTGTTCAGTCAGATGAGCATATTTGGTCAGACCAGAATACCCATAGTCAATACCCATTTATCCCTTTAGTTTAACCCTTTAGTTTTGTTGAAAAAATACTCTTTAAACTACCTCAACGGGCATGTATCCCTTTAGTCATGTACAAAAAAGCTATTTAATTACTTACTTTTTTGTGTTGTTGAGGGTTTTTATCCGGTAGCAGCAGATTTAATCTACGTGACAAAGATGAGCGGAGCGGAGTTTCACAATTTTCTTCTTTTATTAATATCACGGAGTTGAACTTAAACATGGCATCTCTCTATTATCGCCTGAGCCGAACTGCACGTCTTGCGTGCTTACATCACACGTCTTATCAAATACAAGTGATTGATTGGCTGAACCTACACAACATTCCCTTTCAAAATAAGAGCGTCACATATTAACATTTAACACCCCCACTCGCTCTTATTCCATTACATAACATAGAAAACAAAATTACATAGAAAACAACTCATTAGATCTGAAAATAGAACTCATTACATGCCATTACCAAACATGTGTGTTGCAAAGTTTCTCAACTTCAGCTTAGTAACTGGCTTGGTCATAACATCAGCAATCATTTGCTCTGTAGGACAATACTCCAAAATAAACCTTCCATTGTTTACATTTTCCCTGATGAAGTGGTACTTAATGTCAATATGCTTACTTCTCTGTCTATTCACTGGATTCTTGGCCAATGCTATGGCACCTTGGTTATCTTCGTACACCTTTGTCTGTGCATATTGATGATTGTCAACACCACTTAACAGTTGCTCTAAGTAAAGGCCTTCCTGTATGGCTGATGCTAAGGCCATATACTCTGCCTCACACGATGATAAAGCCACTGTTGGTTGTTTTCTTGTTTTCCATGAAATCAGAGCGCTTCCCTCATTTAAACTAGTACAATACCCTGATGTACTTCGCCAATCGACCGAATCTGATGCCCAGTCAGCATCGCTGTAGACTCTTAGGCCTAGTTTTTCTGCCTCACTTCTCCTGAAGTACAATTTCTTCTCTTTTGTACCTTTGAGGTATCTGAACACGTGTTTAACTGTGTTCCAGTGCTCCAGAGTGGGTTCAGTAAAGTGCTGGGAGAGTTTACTAACCACAAAGCTAATGTCAGGCCTAGTGCATGTGGATAGGTAAATCAAACTTCCTACGGCCTCCCTGTACTTTCTCGGTTCTTGCATTTTCTCTGCATCCTCTGTATATTCTAGTTTGGGTTCACATGGTGTTTCTCTGGGCTTGCAGTCCTGCATGCCAAATCTGTCTAAAACTTTATTCACAAACTTCTCCTGTGACATTGTTACTACGCCATCTGCCTGTTCAAAATCTATCCCCAGGAAATGTTTCAGTTCACCCATATCTTTCATTTTGAACCTTTCAGTGAGCATCCGTTTCACCTTTTTCACCACATTCTCATTGTTTGCAGCAATGATGAGATCATCAACCCAAGCTATAATGATCACCTTCTCGTTGTTTCTCTCTAATGTGTAAACACATGTATCTGCAGCATTTTGGACGAAACCATTTTCAACTAGGCATGTGTGTAGCATTGCATTCCAATTTCTTCCCGATTGTTTTAACCCGTAAATGGATTTCTGTAGCTTGCACACTAACTTCTCACCCCTGTCTGATTTCTTCTCAAACCCCTCAGGTTGCTCCATGTAGATCTCGCAATCAATTGGTGCATGTAAATAAGCTGTCTTGACATCCATCTGATGTAAGACTAAATTTTCCTGCACTGCTTTTTGCATCACAACCCTTACACTAGTCACGTCAGCAGTGGGTGAGAAGGTTTCGTCGTAATCTGTACCTGGTTTCTGATTATAGCCTTTTGCTACGTACCTTGCTTTGTACTTTTCAGACCCATCAATTTCGTTTTTCAACGCATAGACCCATCTACCCCCCACTGTCTGTTTGCCCGGTGGCAGCTGGGTCAGGGTGAACGCTTTGTTCTCCTCGAGAGATTGCATCTCTTCTTTCATTGCAGCTTTCCACTGCCTTGCTTTAGATGAGGTAATGGCGTCCTGGTAAGTATGAGGTATATCACACACTGCCCTGTAACAACAGTCCATGCAAGTGTTAAGATTGTCCTCTGTGTCACCTGTGTCATAGTCCTGCAGATGAGCCGGCCTCCTCTTAGCTCTTGGTGGGTTCTTTCTGTGAACAGTCTGTGGGACTTCACCTGGCTGGGTACATTCAGTCTTTTCAGGTGAACCACGAACACCACCACTTTCAACACGCTGACCTGCATTTTTAGGTTTCTCATCAACCCTCTCATCATCAGTGTTGTCAACCATGGTATGTATGTCCCCATAACCTGTATGTGACTGCTCTGTTTGTATACCTTTTTCGTTTGTCGTCCTAGTTGTGAATTTCACCAACCTATGTTTCTGCACCCTCTCTGTGTCTGGGTAGTATACTAGATATGCCGGGCTGTTTTTGTCATAGCCTAGGAAAACGCCTTCATCACAGCGTGATTCTATTTTGCCCTTCTCTTGCTTGTAAGCAAAACATGCAGATCCAAACTTTTGCAATTTGGACAGGTTAGGTACATTGCCTGTGAACAGCTCATATGCTGTCTTCTTTGTGCGCCTATTGTAACACCTGTTCCTTACATAAGCTGAGGTCTGAACAGCATAGTTCCATAGGTTATCAGGTAACCCGCTTTCGATCAGTAGGCATCTGCTCATCTCATAGAGTGTCCTCCAACCTCTTTCTGCAGTGCCGTTTTGGTGGGGCGAGTAAGGCGCAGACGTCTCGCGTCTAATCCTGTTTCTCCTTAACAGTGTCTGGAACTCATGACCTGTAAATTCAGTACCGTTATCTGAACGGATACACTTGACCTGCCCGTAGGGGGCTATGTCCGCCAAGAATTTTTCTGTGGCCGTAACTGTGTCACTCTTAGACTTGAGAAAATACACAAACATAATGCCTGAATAATCATCTGTAAATGACTGCACGTATCGATGTTCTTCTATGCTCGGAGTACGCATGGGGCCTGCCAAATCAGTGTGTACTAGCTCTAGGGGCCTTTTTGCTTTTCTATCTGGTTCCCTGTTTCTTGTCTGTGTAAATTTTCCCTGTGTGCACACCTCACATGACACATCCACCCCAGAAGAACCTCCCTTAATCTCCATGCCTTTCACCACACCTTGTAAATTTTTCACATCTTCATAATTACAGTGACCCAGTATCTGATGCCAGGTTTGCACATCATGACACACTTTTAGCTGGTCAGCATCATTTTCAACAGTAGGTAAGTAATACAGGTTACCGTTCTCACGTATGTCGAAACTTTTACCGTCACTGCCGATTATTCGACTGTCCCCCTTTTCGAAGACCACCGTCGCACCTCCGTTGACTGATCTCGACACCGAAAAGATGTCTTGTGGATATGTTGGCATGTAGAGCGCATCCCGTAGCTGCGCTCTGCTTTGCTGTCCTCTGCTGTCCAGCAGATGGATCACCGCGGTTCCTCTGCGTTGCGCCATCCCGTTGCACTTGCTTCCATCCGCCAATTCCACCGAATGGGTGCTCGGCTGGAATGAATGGTCGAAGCTCTCGAACTTGCTGATATCGTTGATGATGTGGGAAGTCGCCCCCGCGTCTACCATGATCCCCTTCCTGTTCACGTTACCCGGTGGTCTCTCTCGCTGAACGTTGTTGGCCATGAAGAGGGAATCGTCAGCTCCATCTTGCTTCTCCGTGAATTTTCTGGCGCCATCTCGTTCCTGCTTCTTCTTGCAGATGGACTCCGCGTGCGTAGCGTTTCTGCAATGGCCGCACCAGACTCGCTTGTAGCATTTTCGCGCTCTGTGTCCCTTTATTCCACACTTGTAGCACGTCATGTCTCCATCGTCACTTTTTCTGTTATTTTCTGCTCTGCTTTGCCCTTTGCCCGATCTCGCATGGGTCTTCATCACGTTGTCTGTATTTTGTTCTGTCATTTTCATTTTCTCAGACTCTACGTAAACGCGCAGCCTTCGCTTGAAGTCGGCGAACGTGACATTGTCCTCATTCTGTGTCACATGCACCGCTAACGGCTTGAACGTCTCTGGTAGCCCGCCTAGCACCATGGCCACGATCAGTCCATCACTGAGAGTTTCTCCTGCTTCTCTTAACGATGTGATAATGCTCTCTGCCCTTATCAGATAATCAGTAACAGTCTCTTTTTCATTCATTTGCAGTCTTGTCAACGACGTATACATGTTAATAATTCTAGGCTTGCTTTTACCGGCGTAATGTTCCCGCAGTATCTTCAGTGCCTTTCTGCCATCATCAGCCGCCTCATGCCTGATTAGCGACAGGCTCTTGTCGTCGATTAGCCTTACCAGCTCGGCGTAGCAGTCGACATTCTTCCGACGGTCGTCGTCGCTCGGTTGTTCCGGTTCATCTCCTAAAATTGTCCCTTTTAGCTTCAGGATGTGAAGGCAGCTCAAAAACCTTGTTTCCCACAGGTCGTATTTTTCTTCTGACCCGTCGAACAGCAACTGTGGTGCTGGAGCTCCAGTGGCTCGGCTGGCCATTGTCACCACGAGTCCGCCAAAACTTTTCCTCAGCTCCAAAAACTGAACGTTACCGCGTAATACGTCGCGTTTAACTAAGACTACTCACGCCCGCTGTCTTCGGCCCTGGGCCCATAACCTATTGAGGGTTTTTATCCGGTAGCAGCAGATTTAATCTACGTGACAAAGATGAGCGGAGCGGAGTTTCACAATTTTCTTCTTTTATTAATATCACGGAGTTGAACTTAAACATGGCATCTCTCTATTATCGCCTGAGCCGAACTGCACGTCTTGCGTGCTTACATCACACATCTTATCACATACAAGTGATTGATTGGCTGAACCTACACAACATTCCCTTTCAAAATAAGAGCGTCACATATTAACATTTAACAAGTGTTTTTTGAAGCGTATGGCGATCAGACCTTAAATTAAGGCAGCTTGGCTGGAAACAACCCAGTTTTGGTAATTTTAATGTGGACCCCAGAAAGACTAGCTGTTTGCCATGGAAACTTAATACAAATTACAAATTACAGGTGGTTTCGGGGGCAGTCTACTTTTACTTTTTAACTAATTTCAACGTAATACTTTTGACTTTATCAAAGAAGACGAGTAGGTCCCCTTGGCAGGTTCTTTGGGCAGGTTCTTTGTAGAACATGCTGTAAGAGCTGCTTAGTTTTGTTACTCATGCTCACATCATAACATCATTTTAAGATGGGGACAACTGGAGGACTCAACATGGTGTCCTTTACTACAATCTCAAACCAAAATTCTTCTCTATCTGGGCTTACATTATCTTCATCCCTGAAAGAGTGACCAGTGATCCACAGATGTGTTTAAGCTGCAAAATTTTCCTGTCCTTGTTGTTCTTTTGTGGTTAGCCAACCTCCTGGTCTGTGGCCACATTTTGTACACAAATGTAACATCCAGAGCCATTGCAACAGAAAATATAGAGTTTGCTTACAACAGTATTTCATTACAAACTTAGAAACTATAACATTTTTCTGGAGTGGGGCTCACACAAGCTACACTGAAATTTATCCAAGATCTAGGTGACATCTCAGACTTTCTCCTCAAGATCAGTCAGTTTAAAGATAAGAATCACAATACTTTCTTTTTTGTAGATTTGGATGACGCTGCTAAGTAGAGCAACCATTACTGTTATTTCATTAACACCCATATAGACACCAGAAGTAGGTAGAATACCGATCTCTGGTGACTATGTGGGTGACTTGAATCCCATATTGTATAATTATAGTGTAATTTAATTTAATCTTTGGAAGATAGATGGAGTAAAATCCAAGACAACCATGGAAGAAAACACTCTGGGGATGAAAAAGACCTGATGCTGGGGCTAGGAGTTCAACTTCCAGCATGACAGCCACCCTAAACATAAAGCCAGATATACAATGGGAGGGTTTACATCAAATGAGATTCAAATGTCAGAATGGCCTAGTCAAAGTCCAAATGTTAATCTAACTAATATTCTGACTATATTCCATCCATCCACCTATCCATCTATGTAATTTTTCTGACTGACTTATGTTGTGCTACTTATGAAAACCCTGCAGAAACATGGTTGCCAACAAATCATGTGAAATACAGGAAAAACCATCCCACCCATATCTAACGAGCTTCTACATAATAATTTTTCTGGTAGGTATGTTTTCAGTCCTATTAAAAAGAAAAAAATCTTTTAATGTTTTGGTCTCATAAGGCACTAATACAAAAACTTTCTCTGCAGGTGGGTTTGATCCTCAACAGCTTCACTTTATGGTTTCATTGCCATCAAAGTCATGTGCAAAGTTCAAAGAGCTGGATGATCTACCTGAAACATCTGACAGTTGCTGACTTTTTGATCTGCCTGAGCCTCCCACTGCGAATAGTCTACTACTCTGACAAGTCGTCCTTTCAGCTGTACTGCATTGTTATACGTCCGCTAATGTTTCTCAACATAAGTGCCAGCATCCTGTTCATGGGCTATATTGCAGCCAGCAGGTAATCAACTTTAATTACCAGTCACGAAAATGAAAAATAATTCGCACTAGGTTTAAGTATATATATGTATATATATATATATATATATATATATATATATATATATATATATATATATATATATATATATATATATATATATATATATATATATATATATATATATATATATATATATATATATATATATATATATATATATATATATATAATATATATATATATATACATATATATATTGTATATATACAAAAAAAAACTGCTTTCTCACCCCTCGTGGGGTGGTATGTGTCATCCTCAAGCTCCTTCTACCAGAGGCCTGGGAGTTTGAGGGTTTTGCGCAGTATCTTAGCTGTTCCTAGGACTGCGCTCTTCTGGACAGAGACCTCTGATGTTTTACCTGCAATCTGCTGTAGCCAATCTCCCAGTTTGGGGGTCACAGCCCCCAGTGCTCCAATTACCACTGGCACCACTGCTGCTCTTACTTTCCACATCTTTTCTAGCTCCTCCTTCAGCCCTTGGTATTTCTCAAGCTTCTCGTGTTCTTTCTTCTTGATGTTGCTGTCGCTTGGGATTGCCACATCTATCACTACTGCCTTCTTCTGCTGTTTGTCGATCAACACGATGTCTGGTTGGTTAGCCATTACCTGTTTGTCCGTCTGGATCTTGAAGTCCCATAGGATCTTAGCTCGGTCATTCTCAACTACCTTAGGAGGTGTCTTCCATTTTGACCTTGGGACTTCCAGCCCATACTCATGGCAGATGTTCCTGTACACTATGACAGCTACCTGGTTGTGGCGTTCCATGTATGCACTTCCTGCCTGCATTTTACACCCTGCTGTTATGTGCTGTATTGTTTCAGAGGCATCTTTGCACAGTCTGCACTGGGGTCCTGCCTGGCGTGGTGGACCCCGGCCTCTAGTGATCTTGTACTGAGTGCCTGTTCTTGTGCTGCCATGATTAGTGCCTCTGTGCTGTCCTTCAGTCCAGCCTTTTCCAGCCATATATAAATATATATATATATATATATATATACGCACTTACTTGCAAACACATTTCGAAATACGAAGGGGATAAGAATGACCAATCACAGCCAAGGGGCCGAGCAGGTCAGCAGACAGAGCGTGCTCCAAATCAGCCCCATTACCCCACCAGACCGAGCCACAGGCCATCCACCTCTAGTAGGAAAGGTAGCCGATGATAGGTGTCCAGAGAGATTGATTTAGTGATAAGGCATCTCTAGCTTGATAAAATCTAACAGAATGTCTCTGTACTGGTTAATATTTAGACTGTTTATTTATTTATTTTTTTATGCTCGTTTGTTTATTTTTCCTGTTCAGGCGGATGGTTTTTCTTTGCGATACATAAGGCACTAAAGATGAAATAGAGGGAAATTGTCTAAAGAGACAGCATCTAGGTTACCCAGTAAGCATACTTAGAGGGAGGGTGAAATATTAAATCCCAGACACTTTGGCAGATACCACACACCAGAGCTTTTGTACAGGACTGCATGACAATAGCGCATGTATATAGTTATGTGGTGCATTACTTGAGCTTTGCAAGCTATCAGAAGATATCAGAGTGTAAAACCCCTCTTAACCCTGTAATGCCAAATGTATCATATTTGATACATACGGTTTCTGAAATGTTTTGACACCTTTTGCATAATTTAATGGTAAAAACTTTGCCCAAAATCCTTTTGTACACAATCAGATATACCTGATAACAGAGGGCAGAAGACTACACAAAAAATAATCTTGACTTATCGCATAGTAATAAATGATTAATATCAAAAATGTATTTTTTTTTTCTTTTTACATATTTTGTTAAAAGGCCAAATAAGGACTTCAAACCAAAAAAAAGTAATTTTCTGTTTTGTTTTATTCTATGATGGTCTTCTGTAGACCATCATTTTTATTGAAGCAATCCTTCCATTGAGTGAAATGGGAAGGGATTTCCATCTAGCAAGAGAGAGAGAGAGAGAGAGATTTGACAGCTAGCTAAAGAGTAATACATAATCTGCTAAAGACAGCTTTCGTGTTCTATGGTACTGCATTTAAAAATAATGATATCATTGGTTTACCTGATTGCTGGAGCTAGTGGTTCAATAAAGATAGCAAACAATAAGGGAGACAGCGGGCGTCCTTGCCTAGTGCCCTGCTACAGTTTAAAGCAAGCAAAAGTTTGATCATTTGTTCTAATACATGCTGTTGGATGGCTATATAGTGTTTTTAACCAAATTATGAAACCGTTACCAAAGCAAAATTTACTTAGAGATGCAAACAAATATTTCCAATTAACTCTATGAATGGTTTTAACATTTTCTAAACTATTTTTGAATATTGAATATACCAGTTTTACCAGTCCGTGAGGCAGACACCCTGCCTTCTTTTAAGGGTAGGATTAAAACTTTCCTTTTTGATAAAGCTTATAGTAAGAGGGGCTCAGGTTATGCTGAGCTATCTCTATAGTTATGCTGCTATAGGCTTAGACTTCTGGAGGACATAGGGACCCCTTTTTCATCATTCTGCTTAATTATATCTCTATTCTCCCACTATGCAGAATCTGTGAGTTCAATCTCCAATGTTATTCTCTCTCTGCTTTTTCTCATAGTAGCTTCACCTCTTCCATCCCTGTTTGGCTGTGACTCCATCCTGGAGAGAAATATCAGCTCTGCTGCTGCCATCAACACCTTTGTTTATAGATGTTGGAGATCGGCCTCTTTTTCAGTGTACCCCTGTTTCTCTGACTGTGACTGGCTGGATGTTCTCTCTTCATCCTCTGACATGGAAGCTGGCTCAGAGCTCGTCTGCCTGGCCGTGTGTTTCCTGGTCGGGGCCGCCTTTTACAGCTGCTTTTTGTATCTCCACTTCTGTCTCCTTGAACCCCAGTCAGCCTTGGCAGATGGCCGCTCACACTGAGCCTGGTTCTGCTGGTGGTTTCTTCCTGTTAAAAGGGGGTTTTTCCTCTCCACTACAAGGATTCTTAGTGTGAGGGATTGCCTTTGAGTTAATGAGTTGATGCAATCAACTCGTTTTCCTTAGATGCAAAACTCTTAATCAATTTGACGGTATGATCTGGTGAACTGTAAAGTGCCTTGAGATGACATGTGATGACATCCATTATCTAAATAAAGTGAATTGAATTGAATTGAATTAAAATGATTATGATTACTAATGCTAAAGATAAGACTGTACTTGCTAACTGAATAAATCTTAATAATATTTCTGGGCAAACATTTAGTCCTTCCTTGAGGTATACATATCTAAAATTTATTTACCAGATTCAATTCAATTCAGTGTATTTAAATAGCAACAAAGCATGACACATGTCATCTTAAGATTCTTTACAAAGATTCTTCAACCCGATCATACATTAAAACCGATTAAAAGTTTTCTGTCAAAGGAAAGCCAGTTGATTGCATCGACAACGTTTTAACCGACCATCAGATGTCATTAAAAATTACACGCTGCAGCTTTAATCTGTTTAATTTGTAGAACTTTACAGTTAAAAAGTCCTGAAATAATTTTGTACTTCACAGGTACATGAAGATCTTTTATTCTTCAAGAACTCCCTTCCTGATGACAGCCAAAGCCAGCCACATCATCTCGATGACCACCTGGTGTTTTCTTCTGATCGTGTTCATACCAAACTTCACCAAGAAGATGGTCAACTATAAAAGTTCTAATTACACCACCTGTAATGAAATGCGAAAAAATCATCTAGAAATCAGTATTAGGTTGATTTTAGCTTCTGCATCTACTTTTATCTTTCTGTTGGTGTTCTTCCCTCTGATGTTCTTCTACTACAGCACCTGCAGCAAGGTGCAGCAGATCCAACAAAGCCATTTACGCAACTCAGAGAAGCTTGTGAACTCTCGCAGGAAAATGTTGGTGTTGGTCAGCGTGTTCTGCATTTGCTTTGTTCCTTATCATGTGCTTCGTCTTCCATACATCATATTTGAAGGACATTGTATAACCATTTTTTATAAGGTGAAGGAGATCACTGTTTTACTAACAACATTCAATTTGTGTCTGGATCCAATTATTTATGTTTTTCTTTGTAAGAACTTCAGGGCTCAGCTCAATCTGAAACGAATATTTGGCACTAATGGCAACAGCAATACCTACACGTTAGATGCAAGGCACAGTGGGGAGCTGCTGAACACCCACAGCTCCCGGGTCCTAGAGGGGAGAGTAACCACTAGTTAAGTTTGTCTCTGATTAAACACCAAGACTTTCTGTTTATTGTATTTAAACCAGCAACTATTTTCCCTGAGCTCCCTGAGCTCAGCCACTGCTGGATGAAAATATTCCCTTTCTGACATACGCAGGTGAAGATTCTCAGTCATCCAGGTCATAGTCATTCAAAAAAGCTAAAAAAAACAACAATACACTGGAATTTGTTTCCAACTTTAGTGACCTTTTACCTCCCATCCTGGAAGCTTTTTCGATGCAAACATGTTCCAAAAGTGTCCTTCCCCCCCAAATTACCCAGAGTCAAATAAGTACATGTAGGAGAATGCATATTGTATTTTCTGCATTAATTTTAATTCACATTTAGAATAAGTTCTGGAGTAAATACATGCATATCCTGGGTTTCAGTTTCAAAAAAATAGATAGATGTTATGCTGATTTAAGTTACAACTGCGAGGTTCCCTGTGAACCATATTTGTTGGTAAAACGATTTACTGAACTTATAACCAGTCTCTTGTACATTGGACATGTGGAAAACATTAGATGTAAGGTCCTTATCTGAAGGACTCAGTAGTTATTGGAGAGTAAATACATGCAATTAGATCTAATTTTATTTATAAATTCATATGTATAAGCCTATGTTTAGGCTTATACAAAAACTTTGTGCTGCATTTTGTGTGTAATCTAACAATCAGAGATGTTATTGTAGAGTAATAAGTGTCTCAATCTGTAATGCAGAATAATCGGACACAACAGGGATTGGGATGTAATCATCTTCTTTCTTTTTTTTTTCATGTCACTAGGCACAGATAGCTTAGGTTTTGCTGAATTATGTATTAAAGGAATAGTACACCCAAAACATGATTAGCCTTCATTTTCTACTCGGCCCCATGCTGAACAACACTCTGGAGTACTTTTTTGATATCTCAAATGCATCTGGAGATCTGGGAGGCTTCTTGCTGTCTGCTGACATTCAAATAATGGAGGTCTATGGTGCCCGAGACAGAAAGGTCCATAAAAGTCCACAAAAAACGTGTCAATATTCCTCCATACTGCTCGTCCAATGTATTCCAAGTGTCCTGAGTGGGTAGCGTCCAGAATTTACTCCAAACAAAGTCATTTAGAATGTTTTTAGAGCATAAACAGTAGTGTATAGGATTTCCTGAAAGCGCGCCTGCGAGTTCACAACGCTACGGAAACCGCGGCAGACCAAACCAGATGAAAGTGCGCACAGGATATTAACCTCCGCTTGAAATAATTTAAGTAAGGCTTTTTGATAACCCTGACTTATGTTAAAAGACTGGTTTCATTTAACATAATTTGTTTTAGGTCTTTTTTGTAACTATAAAGCAATAAAACATTGCGTAACACCTGCCTTACCTCACCTACCTGATTTGTTCTTACATGTTTTAGTTTGATATATCTTTATATGCGTTAATTGACGTGTGAACATATCATTGCTTTTTGCTTTAAAAAAAACTAAATGTCCTCATTGTGGGATAATTAAATATACATTATTGGATTCTGTTTTGAATTCAAAATACTTAATTAATAGAAATGTAGTTACACACAGTGGGATATGTATAAAACATTACCTTAGCTGTTAGTGAAATGCTTTAATCAATTTAGAGATCTGGATACTTGTTTGTTTCACTGTGATCTTTTTATAAGCAGCTGAGCACACAGTATGACATAACACATTTAAGAGACATTACATTTTATCCTGACATCTAAAACATGTCTCTTACTTTGTTTTAACCTTTGAACTATGCAAAACTGTTCAAGCAAGTTCTGCTACAAAAAACTATTATTCCTCACCTAACCTTGTTTTAATCATAAGACGTAGCCTAGCTGTTCTACGTAAAATTAGAATTTTGTCACAAATCATTGAATTATTCCATAATTTCAAACTTACCCAGTAAATTTACTTCCTTAGTGTTTGGTACTCTTTATCACTTCTGCACCTGCAGAAGTCCAAACAAACTTCTCCTCAGCAGAGGAGGGAGGGAGGACTGTGTGTGTGTCAGTGGACAGCAGCGCTGTAAACACGGGGAGACACTGCAGCACAGCCTTCTCTGTTGCTTCCACCAGACATGATGTGTGTGGAAGAAGAAAAATGGGCTTTCCATCTGATTTTAAGAACGATGTTTCCAAGGCGAAGCAAAATCAATGAACCAGAAACAAGAGTTCCGTGATGTGTAGAAACACCGAACCAGGGGTGCAAGAAGCTGAACCATCAACAAACAACGACCCTGATTTTCCCAAACGCACATTTGACAGTCAGGCCTAGGGGTTCAAACTTCATCCAGAAGTTTCAATCTCTATAACATAACGCCTCCCTCAAGTGATTCAGACCCCCCCCCCCCCCCCCCCCCAATTGACATTTATGCACTATTTTTGCACGCCATGCATCACTTTACTTGGATTTATTACTTTTCTTGGATTTTCACTTTATTTGGATTTAGTTTTTACATAAGCATAGATATACGTACAGATATATATACAGAAGAGCTATATGTGTATATATTTTATCTCTTTTTCTTCTTCTTTTTTTTATCTTTATTATACTGTATAGTTGGATGTGTGTATATATTATTATGGAAGCCCGTTTCCGCCACTCTGTAAAAAAAAAAAAAAAAAAAAAAAATATCTCAATATAATGAGATAGTATCTCATTATAATGAGATAGTATCTCAATATAATGAGATAGTATCTCAATATAATGAGATAGTAACTCAATATAATGAGATAGTAACTCAATATAATGAGATAGTAACTCAATATATTGAGATAGTTTTTTTTTATTTTTTACCAATTTTTTAAGTTAAAATTGAGTATTTTTGGTCAATAGCTCCCAGGTCATGTGACCTATTGATGCAAAATCAGTGTGAAATTGTTCTACTAGTCTCTGTAGATGGGGCACACTCATTTATTTTTCATTTTAACTCTTTTTTTATTTTTTACCAATTTTTTAAGTTAAAATTTAGTATTTTTGGTCAATAGCTCCCAGGTCATGTGACCTATTGACCCAAAATCAGTGTGAATTGTTGGGTACCCCCTTACATGGGCCCACCACCCGTGAGAGGGGCCATAAGGGTCGTATGCAATGTGTGTTGGCCGGGGGAGGGGACCCTGGTGGTCCGATCCTCGGCTGCAGAAGCTGGCTCTTGGGATGTGGAATGTCACCTCGCTGGTGGGAAGGGACTGGAGCTAGTGTGTGAGGCTGAGAGGTTCCGGCTAGAAATAGTCTGTCTCACCTCGACGTATGGTTCTGGTTCTGGAACCAGTGTCCTTGAGAGGGGCTGGACATACTTCCACTCTGGAGTTGCCCACAGTGAGAGGCGCTGGGCAGGATTGGGCATACTTGTTGCCCCCCATCTCGGCGCCTGTACGTTGGGGTTCATCCCGGTGAACGAGAGGGCTCCGCCTAAGGGTGGGGGGACGGGTTCTGACTGTTGTCTGTGCTAACGGGCCGAACAACAGTTCAGATTACCCACCCTTCTTGGAGTCCTTAAAGGGAGAACTGGAGGGTGCTCCTCCTGGGGACTCCTTTGTTCTGCTGGGAGACTTCAACGCTCATGTGGGCAATGACAGTGAGACCTGGAGGGGCATGGTTGGGAGGAATGGTCGCCCCGATCTGAACTCGAGTGGTGTTCTGTTGTTGGACTTCTGTGCTCGTCATGGATTGTCCATAATGAACACCATGTTCAAGCATAAGGGTGTCCATATGTGGTAAAAAATAAAAAAAGAGTTAAAATGCAAAACAAATGAGTGTGCCCCATCTACAGAGACTAGTAGAACAATTTCACACTGATTTTGGGTCAATAGGTCACATGACCTGGGAGCTATTGACCAAAAATACTAAATTTTAACGAAAAAAATTGGTAAAAAAAAAAAAAAAGAGTAAAAATGAAAATCAAATGAGTGTGCCCCATCTACAGAGACTAGTAGAACAATTTCACACTGATTTTGGGTCAATAGGTCACATGACCTGGGAGCTATTGACCAAAAATACTCAATTTTAACTTAAAAAATTGGTAAAAAATAAAAAAAGAGTTAAAATGAAAAACAAATGAGTGTGCCCCATCTACAGAGACTAGTAGAACAATTTCAAACTGATTTTGGGTCAATAGGTCACATGACCTGGGAGCTATTGACCAAAAATACTCAATTTTAACTTAAAAAATTGGTAAAAAAAAAAAAAAAACTATCTCAATATAATGAGATACTATCTCGTTATATTGAGTTACTATCTCATTATAATGAGATAGTAACTCAATATAATGAGATAGTATCTCATTATATTGAGTTACTATCTCATTATAATGAGATAGTAACTCAATATAATGAGATAGTATCTCATTATATTGAGTTACTATCTCATTATAATGAGATACTATCTCATTATATTGAGATACTATCTCATTATAATGAGATACTATCTCATTATATTGAGTTACTATCTCATTATATTGAGATAGTTTTTTTTTTTTTTTTACAGAGTGGCGGAAACGGGCTTCCATATATTATTTAAAACTGTAAGCGTGTAAGAAAAGTAATTTCCCTCTGGGATTATTAAAGTATTTCTTATGGAAGCCCGTTTCCGCCACTCTGTAAAAAAAAAAAAAAAAAAAAAAACTATCTCAATATAATGAGATACTATCTCATTAAAATGAGATAGTATCTCAATATAATGAGATACTATCTCATTATAATGAGATAGTAACTCAATATAATGAGATAGTAACTCAATATAATGAGATAGTAACTCAATATAATGAGATACTATCTCATTATAATGAGATAGTAACTCAATATAATGAGATACTATCTAATTATAATGAGATAGTATCTCAATATAATGAGATACTATCTCATTATAATGAGATAGTAACTCAATATAATGAGATAGTAACTCAATATAATGAGATAGTATCTCAATATAATGAGATACTATCTCATTATAATGAGATAGTAACTCAATATAATGAGATAGTATCTCAATATAATGAGATATTATCTCATTATAATGAGATAGTAACTCAATATAATGAGATAGTAACTCAATATAATGAGATAGTATCTCAATATAATGAGATACTATCTCATTATAATGAGATAGTAACTCAATATAATGAGATAGTAACTCAATATAATGAGATAGTATCTCAATATAATGAGATACTATCTCATTATAATGAGATAGTATCTCAATAGCTCCCAGGTCATGTGACCTATTGACCCAAAATCAGTGTGAAATGGTTCTACTAGTCTCTGTAGATGGGGCACACTTATTTGTTTTTCATTTTAACTCTTTTTTTTTTTTTTTTACCAATTTTTTAAGTTAAAATTGAGTATTTTTGGTCAATAGCTCCCAGGTCATGTGACCTATTGATGCAAAATCAGTGTGAAATTGTTTTACTAGTCTCTGTAGATGGGGCACACTCATTTGTTTTTCATTTTAACTCTTTTTTTATTTTTTAGCAATTTTTTAAGTTAAAATTGAGTATTTTTGGTCAATAGCTCCCAGATCATGTGACCTATTGATGCAAAATCAGTTTGAAATTGTTCTACTAGTCTCTGTAGATGGGGCACACTCATTTGATTTTCATTTTAATTCTTTTTTTTATTTTTTAGC